GCATTGGAACAGACATAGATAGTGACATCTAAATTAGAAGCATCATCCTTTTCAAAAAGGAAACTTAGGGTGTGGTTGGTAGCAGCTAAAACTGATCCATTTAGTTCATAGCCACCATGCACCTAAGTTTCAGGGCCTTGACACTATGGGTGATAGTGTCTCTTCAATTTCTTAAACTCGATGCAGAGTCTCTGCAGCAGCTTGTCAGGATCCACTTGTGTTGTGGCCCGTGTTTACCAAGGTAACGTACCCATCCACCATGACGAAGTTTGGATTCTATAGAAAAATTATAGGCATTATCGAAGGGCTAAAAAGGAGGAAAGGGGAAACTAAAAAGGACCTCAGAGATTATTATTATTTTCTATATGAGAAAGCCGAGTTCCAGAAAGGGTGAAATGTCACAGAGCAACTCATGGTTTATCCTATGCTCTTTAGACTTTTGCTCTGTGTCAATCCTCCGGCTCTGAAGGGCAATCCTTAGTGGACTGTCCTCTCAGAGCAGACTTGGCTCTGTCTGACCTCAAAGTTGATTGGAGTCTCCTGACTAGCTAAAAGAAATTCTTATGAAGAAGCCGATGCACAAAGCAATATCTATTTCTTGCCTTGGTCACAGCCAGAAATCTGGATTGAGAAGGCTCCTGTATCACCTACCGGAAACAGCTGGATTTAATCAGATAGGTCAAACCAAACTAAGGTTGAAATCTTCTGGGCTTTCTGTCTTCCAGTTCCCAAACCTAGCAGAACTGGAACCACTGCCCATTGCTAGTCCAAAGTATGAGAAGCAGAGTAGGGACTTAACCTGTACACCTACAGGATGAGAGACACAGGAAACAATGTCACTGAGAGAAAGCAGCACTGCTTTTGATTCTGGAAACTCATTTTCAGCAGATGCTGTCAGGCACAGGAGTCGATTATTTCCACAAGTCTTGTCTCCTGCTGCATTCCTTCCCTATGGTGTACAGGTCTCGGGAATCAGGCCTCAGGCATGGGGTTGGTGGTCTTTATGTCTCAACTAGGCCTCACCCGAGAGAAGGACTTCAGCTACTCCCTCTCTGGTCTCAGGACCAAGTTATAATCTGAAATATAATTCTAGATTCTAGAGGTCCCTGGGGGTAGAAATAGGTGGTGGGGCCGGGGGGGGGCGGGCATGAGGATTTAAGGAAGACATTCACCACAAATGCCACCCATTCACATGTGCATTCATGTGAGACTAACTAGCTGCTGTCAGTAAACACTTTTTAATATATCAATATAACCCTTCATTCTTGAAAGAAAGTTTTCAGATTATTTGTCTGAAATGAGCCTCAAAGCCTCAAGGTAGGCTGAACATTTTCCTAGCCCTATTTCACAGATGAAAAACCTGAAGTCCACAGAGATTAAAAGTCTTCCAAGCTCCTAGGATCAACAAGATAGTGGCAGAGTTAAGATTTTGGCTCAAGTCCTCTAAGTCATGATTCAGAATCCTTAACAAATTACAACACTGCCCATGCTACTTGACTGATAATAAAGATTAAATCATGACTATATAGGTACTCAACAAAATAATACAATGAAGTATAAGACTTTTCAACTAACCTGTTTTCCACTTTGAAAAATGGCTCTTGGGGAGTGAATAACAACTTTCTCATTAAACACAGCTCTATGAAATTAAGATAAAAATAATTCATGTTTGACTGTAAAGCATACTATAAAGCACACACACACACACACACACACACACACACACACAAATGCCCAGCAGCTCCTTGTTTTGATTAAGAGTCAGTTGTCAATGATTATGATGAAAAAACATACACACTTACTACAATGGCATCCCAAATCATTGTATATGAATATGGTGAAAGTTTCTTTCATTCTGTGAATTCTCTTTTTGTTCTTCAGCATCTTCAAGACAGCTCTACAACTAGAGGTGAATTTGTCATGTTTGAAGGCTGAGTCCTGGCTATGGCCACAGTGCAAGTTCACTGGTACAGACAGAAAGAGCAGATAGCAGACTCAGATGACTTTTGGATTCTGAGGAAAAGTATCGTGATAAGGTTTCCAATTTGCTTTTTATTCCAATTAACCTTGAAATATAATTTCATGTTTAAAAGTTTAATAGTTGATGTGTTATAGACTCAGAGATTTCTATTGTTATTTTAAGTCCAAATGATTTCTCAACAGAAACAACCAAAAAAGAAAATATAGCTATTTTGTTTTGAATGAATTAGCTTTAAAAGCTGTGAAAGAACTGGTTTATTTTCATAAATTAATCTTAACTATCTTCCCAATGAGTTCTTGACATACATACAAGAAAAAATGTGGGAATAAACTTATTTTTTAAGAGTAAAACAAATGAAAACTGATACATAACTTTCTAAATACTGTACTGTGTAAGTGTCCTATAAAACACTTAATTTAGGGAAGGGTAAAAAACATGATACCCCTCATGGTAAACACTAAGTTTATACTTTATAAACAATTTCTCATTTATCCTCACACCAACATTTTGAGGTATGTGCTATTACCTCCATTTTCTAAGTTAAAAAAAAAAAAAGACTAACATCAGAAATGTTAAATACTTTGTCCAAGGTCACAAAGCTAGTAAATGCTACACCTAGGTAGTTTGAGTCCAAGATAGTTCCTGAGCCAAATAAAGAAAATAGATTCATTTAAATGTTAATTCAAAACAACTGTACATTTACACATCACACTTAAGAAACATCTGTATTACACAATGATATTTCTTTTTAAAATAATATTTATTGTATTTTTCTGAAACTTACAAATTTATTATAATAAATCTAGAAAATCTATAACACAAAGAAGAAATTTTATTTTTTTATTAAAAGATTGTATTTATTTATTTTTAGAGAGAGGGCAGGGGAGAGAGAAAGAGAGGAAGATAAACATCAATGAGCAAGAGATATGCTGATCGGTTGCCTCTCGTGCACCCCCAACTGGGGACCTGGCCCACAACCCAGGCACATGCCCAAACTAAGAATTGAACTGGCAACCTCTTGGTTCACAGGCCAGCATTCAAGCCAATGAGCCACACTAGCCAGGGCACAAAGAAATTTTAAATTACCCATATTCTTTCTCACCCAAAGAAAATTATAATTAACCTTTAGTGTATTTTTCTACAGTAATGCTACAGTATTTTTACAATGTATTTAATTGTATTTTAAAGATATTAAAAGAAAAGGGTTTTCTTAGGAGAAAGGGGCCAACTCATGATCAGTGTAGCAATGATTCACATTCAGCAAAGAGACAGTACCTGCTCTTACATTCATTTTAGAAATGAAGAACAAAGGCCCAAAGAAGAACTGTAATTTTCACAAAGTCACAAAGTCACAGAGCAATTTTGTGGTAAAACAGGACTGAAATACAGTTCCAGCATCATGTCAAGTGTTTGTTTCTTTGCACATCTTTTGTGAGTTTCTACAGAATTTATAGTCTCTGACTCCAAATTACAGTCGTTTGTATTTGCTTCAAGTTATTTCTCTTATACATATGGCCCCTTCTCCAAACTAAATTAACTGTTGCCATTTAAATTCTCTCTCTATTCTCTTGTTTTATGTTTCAGAAGCTTGTTTATCATCCATTCCTGGTAAGTACAATTTTTCAACATCTTGATAATAAATGACTAAGTCAAAATTAACATCAGAAGACTTTGTCTCCTCAATTACTTTTGCCTTCATGAGCAGGTCACAGACTACCCTATGCCAGCTCTTGAACTGACACACAGACAAAACAAGATAACTGGAATCTTTAAGTGTATTTATTCATCTATTCACTCATTCAACATCTATTTCCTGAGTACAGATTATGGCCAAGTCCCAGGTTCCGGATTCCATTCTTGGCCACAGTTCCTGCCCTCACAGAGCATGTATTCTTCCTATAATTCCGCTTGGTATAGTATTTGTGACTCGTGAACTATGCACAGAGGCAGGAAGGAGGTGTCCTGCCATCAAACATCCAAACTGTTGACTGTCCAAGAAGTAAATGTGGTGCCCTTCACACAGTGGCCAGCACTGTACCAACATTAAGTCTAACTATGATGGCAATGATAATTTTCAGGTCAGTTCAGAAAAGCTTTCTATAGGATCTTTATGCTAAGCACTAAAGCTATAGAAATCTAGAAGTCAAGGAGTAAAGTGTAATCTCTGCTTTCAAGGAATAATCTAATAGAGAAAACAGATGTGTCTGAGAGGCAGTTGATAGGGACCATGCTAGTAATGTTTTAGGTTACATATATTTTTAAGATTTATCTTCATAAGCCCACTCAAAGAAAAAAAATCAAATCAGATTTATTTTTTTAAATCTCAGGAATATTCTATTCCTAGTCCTACTCTCTCTGACACTATCCCACACTACTTGTTAAGTTGGGACACCCAAATATTTCGGTCATGTTGAATCTCTTCCCTTTTCAGAGGAAGCCTGCACCTTGATTATCACAGAAGTAGTTCCTGAAGATTCTAGGAAATTCAAGTGCACTGCAGAAAATGAGGCTGGGACTGCAGTCTCCATAGCAACACTGTTTCTCCAGGTAATTATTCTTCAGGATCTCCCTGCTCCTTCCTATTCAACACTGAGCCAAGAGGAAGATTCTCTGCTTCTATATGAACTGGTGACTAATTCTATTTTTCAGAAGGAAAAGAAGTGGAAAAATCAGAGAATTGTCCAAAGTTACCCATCAGGAAATTTTCTCCAAAACTGGCCTCCTTTCCCTGGAGCAGTGACAGCTACACAAAGGACAAAAATCTAGACAATACCCTAATAAATCTTACGCCAACTATTCCTGAACCAGCCAGTCCCACTGAACAAGAGATCCAGATTCCAAAGGAGGATTTCTGCACCATCAGTGAAAATTCCTCTGAGCTGTAACCACAATGGTAAGGGCAGAGAGACCTAACATTCACTCATTCAACAAGTGTTCTTGGTACTATAGGTAGAACAGTGAACATGACAAAGCTCCAGACCTCAGGGAGCTTGCATTCTGAGATGAATTACTTTATTTATTTTTTACACTGTATAGAATATACCACCTTAGTAGCTTCTGAGGTTAACACATGTCTATCACTACAATTACTTTAGCAAATCTTGTTCCCCTCACTTCTGCAACAACGTGCAGAGTTGGTGATCGAGTTTGCCCTGAGATGGATCACTTTAACTGTCATATCTCCCCTGTCATCCATCACCATGGATAAAACAGTAAGTTATGTGCTTAGGTTTACATTTAAGGGTCTGTTATGGAGATTTTTTTTTTAATCAACAATGCTCAAATGGCACAAGATTTTGAAGTGGAATCTGTTTCCAGAATAGAATGCAGTGTCCTATCACAATATAAATATGTAAAACATTCTGTGATACAGGTGTCTTCATGGTCAATCTTAGAATACAGACATAATTGTTTGTATTGCATTCAGAAAACAGATGTATAAACAGGAAGATAATTCAGTAATTAAATTTTCCAGTCAGACTATGTTTAACATAATCTACCACCATCCCTATCCTCCAAACACAAACCTCAAACCAAAATACATGTGGCTGCCTGTCTGTCTCTCTCTCTCTCATCAATAAATAAAATTTTAAAAATTGATACTTAAAAGTCATTTATAATTTTTGCTTTCAACAATATGTAACATAGTCCACTAAATATTTTACCAGCATAAAGGCATTTTACCTGTAGGTTAAATGCCTTTAATAAAACTTAAACAGCATTCTTGACTAGTTACTAGGACAACTAAATGTAGCCTGTTAATTACTAAATTAAAAAAATTGGAAACTCTTTTGAGACTAGATTTCTTGAGTAATATATGGGTCTATTAAGTGGAAGAAATATACCATGTTAGAGATGGAAGGAATCAAAGGTCATTCGCATGAAGTTCCTCATTCTACAAATGACTAAAATACAGACTGGCTCATACTATTGAGGGATGTTTCTTCATGCTTCCATGAGGTTGGGATAGGTACTTCAAATGTTTCTTGCAATAAAGACAGTGAGGAAAAGTGTTTGGACTTCAGAAACTAACAGACCCGGAACACTGTATGTGAAGTACATAGCAGGAATTCAATAAATAGTAGCTATTACTTCACTGCATTGCTTTTTATCAGGATCAGTGTATCTCCAATAACAGTATGACTGTGATTTCTGTTGGTCTCCCAGAACCTCTTTAGCTTCTGGGATCTCTAGTTGTCTGAGCAGAAGCTACCCCTATATATAAAGATTTCTCATGGGGTCAAGTAAGAGTGTGTGTGCAGGGCAAGAAATGAGACTGCATATTATTCAACAAACATTTATTAAGTACATTCTATGCTAGGCCTGCCTTGGGAAGATAGCCAATACTGATATCTCAAACTTTTCTCCATGAATACCCATGTTTAGCAGTGAGCCTTTAGGACTTAAAAAGACCTTGATTTTATAATATCTTTCACAGATTACCATCTTTATCATTAACAAAATCTTCTGGGGGTAAAAGTTCCATAAAAGTTAACCAGTTTTTACAGAATGTCTATCATGAGCTACACTGTCCTAGGCAAGATAAATAAATAGTCCTTTCCTCAGAAAAAAGTGAACCTAATGTAGGAGATATGCCACATAATAGTCCATTCTATGATCTTCAGTTTTAATTGAGTCTCTCAGCAACATCTGATTTAGATTAGTACAACAGATACTATCTTTGTTTTTCAGTTAATTATTAAAGCTCAGAGAGTTTGAGCAGTTTGTCTAAGGTTACACAGTAAGTGTGCGGTAGAGCAGGCATTAACACTTGGTCTCCAAATAAAAAGGTTAATGTGTCTAGAAAGTTGTAAAATATTAACCAAATTAATGTTATCATTTTTACTGTTTGACTCCACTGGATGTCTGTTATTATTTCTAATGTGAGAAGAATATAAGATTGAGTCAGGTGCTAGAATGGGTATCTCAAATTGTAAGTGCTATAGTGGGATTTCCTTTCATTATATGTCTACACAGAACTTCAGTAATCACAGTGAATTATGTATAACCTGAAAATAAATAAAACATTCTTCACTCTTTAGTCTTCTCATCTTCAATGTGACATTTTCCTTCTCAGTTGATAGAGCAGAAATTAGTTTCAACCTGTACACCTGACCTCTGACTTGAACAGAAGCTCACAGAACCATTTTTACAATAGTATATACTATATTTCACATTTTAAAAGGCAACAAGAGCTGTATATGAAGGAGGGATGAAGGAATGACAGCTAAACAGTTACTCTTCCACTGACAGTAAGAAGGAATTCCCTTAACATGTGGCAGGAAATAACAGGAAGTTATATACATTGTATGAGGCATTAGAATGATTTACCAGAGACCCTATTGATAATTTAGAGAAATTAAAAGTTGTCTTTGGGGGCAGGTCAGAATATGGTTCTCCCACCTGACATCTTAATGATTCTTTCCACTTCAGGATTTTTCTCAAATAAGCAACTAAACATTTCAAATAGCCATATTTGTGAGAAAACACAAACATTCAAAAAAGCAAATCAAACATTAAAAAGTAGAAAAACAGACTCAAAATAGATTATTAAATACAGACCTTTAGCTTCTGAGAATGGTGTCGTAAGAGGGGACCCTGCTTGCCTTTCCCAAATCATCTTTGATCCCCTTGCTGTAGTGAGAACCAGAGCCCAGTGTACCCTGGAGGTGCTACGCTGCAACCCTTGTTACGCCTTACAAAGGCCTGGGGACAAGAGGAGGCAATGTTTAAAAGATAAAGAGTAAATGGAACTAGGATGCACTGTTCTCATTTTGCTTCTTAGGCATAGTCTCCGTTTCTCTCAAATTAAGTTTTTTTTTTCATTCTCATAAAAAGGAAGAGAGTAAATGAAAGTAAAATTCTGCCTCAACTATGGTACATAGATTTAGAAGTGACAACTTAACAGTTTGTCCTGGGCATCTTTCTTACTTGGCTGTATATCTCTTAACTTTTAGGAACTAAGAGACCTCTAATTTAGTTTTTCCTCTTCCTTGTCCCTATCAAACCTTGTTCTTAGGAAGATATATGGCATTTAAAGTGCTTAGAATAGTGCCTTACAGAAAATGCTATACATGTTGGTTATTTGTATTATTTTTACTGCCACTTGCATTTACCTTTTAAGGCTTTCTAATTTGAATGAAAGGGCTTTTCCCTCATAATGGAATTTGAAATAGGAGCGGATACGCAGAAATATTTTCAGAGATTACTGAAATAAGACTTTGTAGGCAAACAACATACTCACCAAGTCTAGTGTGCTTTTTCTACTAAATGGCTGCATAGCCAGGCAGCAGTTACTAAACTTTCTCTGAGCACCAAAGGCAGGTACACCTACAAGGTCAGCTGTGAAGAATTTTATATGCTTCACATATGCTCCAACACCTATTTGTGGTACCCTAATATATGTGGTAATTAAATCAAGTTTGGAGTATCCATGAGGGAGAGGAATAAGCAGATAAGCTTTAAACAATAGAACCATATCAAAATTGAAGCCACTTAAGTGGGGATAATTCCACTCGCATGACCTGATCCTCGTGCCACCTAACCCTCTCCACCATCTCTTTTGTTGATTTGAAGGTTTCTTTCTCTGTAATTATTTAGTTCCCTGCACAAAAATGGAAACCTAAATACCAAGACGGTCTCCTTAGTGAAAAAAGAAAGGAAACTGTAAGGGAGATGAAGGAAAGAGAGTTGACAGTACAGAGCCTTGAACTGTATAGATTTCTTCTTTGTTTGGTAGTTTCTAAAGTGTTGCAAAGCTTTTAGAATAAAAATACAAGGTAAATGAGGCATATAACATACAGATTGCAAAAACTTGCTAAAGAAACCACACCCTGTCCTGGCTGGTATGGCTCAATGGACTGAGTGCCAACCTGTGAACCGAAGTGTTGCCAGTTCGATTCCCAGTCAGGGCATCTACCTGGGTTACAGGTCAGGTCCCAGTAAGAGGTGTGCGAGGGGCAACCACACACTGATGTTTCTCTCCCTCTCTTTCTCTCTCCTTTCCCCTCTTTCTAAAAATAAATAAATAAATAAATAAATAAATAAATCTAAAAAAAACCCAAAACCATACCATTTTTTCCACCTCCCCACCTTCCCAGTGACGTCACTATCACATGTTCTCCTGCCTTTACCAAGACCACACCTCCTTTCTTAAAACAAACTGCTTGAACCCTGTTCCACGCCCCCCCCCCTCCCATTTGGAAAAGAAAAAGAGTCTTCAGATGAACAACTATCCAATCCAAAAAATTTAGATCATTTTGGAGCCCATCCATCACTGGTCATTTCCGGAGAAGTCTTACAAGACAGAACACCAGTCTTAGAATAGTCGTATGTAAAGAAGGGATTTAGTCCTTCTTTCTACAACAGGGAAGGGTCACAAAGCCCCCACCACAAAAAAGAATTGAGTTTTCTTTATACTACTTTCCAATTCATTGCTCTTCTCCCTACATGAGCTTGCTAAAGCTCATAGTCAAAATTCACATCTAAAATAAAGAGTCCTGAAAGAGAAGCTCATGTAATCCCACTCCTTAAATATCACTAAGACATCTGAGATATTGTTTAGATTGTGGACTCTTACTTTGACATGCCAGCATAGGTAGATGGACAGGGAAGCACATCAGATGTCACTGTTTGGCAGCTGATAAAAGTCAGTAGTGCTATAATACTAAGCACAGAGCCACTAGATTAGTCTGTGAGGGAAGGGGATGCCTTTTCCTTCCCCTCGATAGTGGGTTAAACCCAGCTGGCAACCTCCAGAACTTACGGGTAAGTCCCTCCTTTATTCCTGCTACAGTTTTGGGTTTTGTTTTTGTTTTTTGTCCAAAAGAGGAGTGGGTACAGAGGTGATCTTCAGATAAAAGGTTTGAAAGCCACAACATCATAATGGTATTATATAAAGATTTGAAGAGAAAGTGGTCTATTCATTCCACTGAAACTAGAAGGCATCATAGAAAGGGTGGAAGATAGTTCTGTGTTGTTACTTTTAAGTCACCATTTTTCCTTGAAAGGAAATACTTGGTCTTACTGTAATTATGGTGATATCCTACAGCTTCAAAATATGCTCAACCAGTTTTTTTTGTGCAAGTCAGTACTGTATTAGAGATAGAAAAAAAAAGTTAAGGTTTTTTACATAGGAGACTGAGTAGTATTTT